TCCTGCTAACTTCCAGTCAAGTGGAAAAAAGCACAAAATAACAACAGGTAATTGTTTGTAGGAAACAGTTACAGGGGTGGCTCCGGTAGCTTTCCACACTAAGTTTAACCCCTCTCTCTCACTCCTGCTCTCCAGCAAAAGGAAATCTTTAATGATCCTTCAGCCCTGCGGTTAAGCGAGGTAGGCTGACTCAGAAATTGAAACAGTGAGCTATACAGGAGTGCGAAATACCTTATATGTCTGGAATACTTGTCACCGTAAGACACACAGATCACAAGAGGAACAGTTACCGAACTTCCAGGTTTGTTACAGAATCTCACCCACCGCTTCCTGCAAGTTAAGAAACCAGCTTTTCATCCACCCTGCTCTACGCGATCAGACCTGCTACCCAGTGTGCAACTCTGGAAAACGATAGCTCTACCAAGCAAAATGTTAAATATCTGCCCTCAAGCAACAGTTTAAGTAAAGCCTTTTATCTCCTCTTATTCCATCTGTTGGCGTAGCTGCGAGCACCAGCAATCCGAACGTCGAGATCTCCCTTCTTTCTCCTTGATCTCAATGCCGAGGGAGTTCTCGCTTTCACAGCTGCAGTGCCTCCGCTTTCTGTCGGTGTGAAAGGGAAGAGAGGAGGGTGGAGAAGGAGGCTGCTCACCGGGGCCTTTCTATCCCAGGATGCCATTTTATTAACTACTTCTCTTCTTTCACATACTGCATAGTCAGCCCCACATCACAGCATTCAAGACAGACTCTGAGACAGTGAATATTTCCACTGAGGCTGTATAAGTGCTCTCAAATGGTTCAAAACCTGCGTGTCCTGTAACCATTCTAAGAAGCTTCCAGAACAACACATTCCACTTTTGGGGGGTTGTGTCATCTGTTCCCCCCCTCCCTTTTTTTTTTTTTTTAAATTTGTTTTACAACAGAAGGATATTATGCAGTGCTGTAGAACCAATGGGTTTTACAGGTGAGTGTACAAGGCAAGCCACAGGCAGAGGCAAGGCAGTTCAACACCCCCAATATATTGCTTTGTTTCTGAACTTTTTCTAGCCCTGGACTGTTTCCTATTGCTCTCCCAGCAGTATTTGCAAACCTTTTTTCCTGAAAGGGATTAAATTCAAACTACAGATCTAACGAACACATATAAAAATGACACTACTTTTCTGTAAAGCGAGTTTTGAAATCAACTTAGACTGATGCAAAACCTTGTCTGGATATTCCTAACTGTTAGCTTACACTGACTTAGCTCAAGTCAAATTCATTAAGCTAAATTGATGTAAACTCAGGCTAAATGCATTCCAGAGCATCCATAAAAGATCTTGTCCCTGTTTGAATAAAGAAATTTAAAAGCTGATGTCATCGAAAAGATGTGATTTATCATGGTAAAAACTGATCTTGAGAATACACATAGGGAAAGGCATTTTGTTCATGGAGCAGTAACGGTGGAGTGGTTTATTTTTCACTGGTAATGCAGGACACCGCCATTCAGAGGTGTGCAACATGCAAGGGAAATAGAAGGGTAAGAAGTAGAAGAAAAGAACATTTCATTACAGATGAACAGTAATCTTATTCCTACCTCAGCTTTCTTTAAACACTTGACTGATTTCTGTTGGTTTCAGTGGAACCATGTGTGTACTAAAATCACTGGTAATTTGCTTGTCAGAATTGAAGAGTATGAAAACCAAACAAGACTGTAGCTGAATAGCAAGAGGCTTTCACACCAGTAGGACACATCAAGCACCGGTGATAACCTAACTGGTGAAAATGAGTTCCATGTTTATATTCATTTATATTCAGTAGGCATGTACAACTAACCCAAATCTCAACTCAGCAGGGGTATTTTATGCCCTATGCCTGAGACGAAAAATGTCAGAAACTGAAAGCTAAACATAACAGACAACTAGGCTCACCCAGGCTGATTAGAAGCAGGGCTTTAAAAATGTTTATTTAATATATTAAAATGCTTGCTGTCAACACCTTTCATGCTATGTGCTTGAATATCCTTGATTAGGGTTTGTGCAGCTGTGGTTCTCATACTGAATTAATTTTGTAAATTGTGGTGAGATGATAGAAGTTTTCCAGCTGTGTAATCATTAATTAACTTGGCTGCATTTGAGTGGCTCCAACTCATGCTTGTCTGTGAAATACTCAACTTAGATAAAACATCACCTCTGCCTTCTGCTCGGTCTTTCTTACAGAATGAAAACTTTTTTCTTTTTTCCTTTTTTTTTTTTTTAAAAAAAAAAAAAAGGAAATGGAAAGTGCTGCAAGGATGATTTGGTAGATTAACTTTTTGCCTTTCCCATACTTTTATAATTCCCACACACAGGGGATGCTTTGGTTTTTAAGGGTTTGGGAAGAGTGACTTTCTCTTTCTATGCGTTTATACAATGCTAGTAACAAAAGGGCTCTAGCTTGTGGCTGTAATGTAAAGCCTAAAAACAGCTTTTTGGGCTTTTCCAGAAGATTCACATAGACAGGATACTGAAGACCTGCAGCAGAAGCGAGCCAGAGGAGATTTAACTGGTCACTACCCAACTTCAACTTCCTGGGCAATAAATACTTTGTGTATTGTTATTTGCACCTGAGAAGAGCTGCCCAGCATCTAGGGCCCGCAATTCAGAAGGCATCGTCTACTAGGCAACATATTTACATCTTACTGAAAGGAAAATGAGCTGCTCCTTAATGGAAAAAATTAGTCAGAGCTGGATGCTGAGAGGTGAGCTACTTTATGCCCCCAAATTTACAAGAGTTAGTCAGGAGAAGCTGGGCACATCGTACTTCCTTTCAAATAAATACACAGTAACTGATGTCCTCATCTATTTTCTTCTTCTGGAAGTCAAAGCATATTCTATGAAACAGGAGTCACGGAGGCAAACAAGTAGGTTAAGGACTGAAATTGCAAAAGAAATTACAGTCAGAACCATTTATTTCATTATTCTTCTCAATGCTAGCACAACGATAGGAGATTAGATGTTGCAAAGGAACTTTCTGGAAGGACTTAAATTTCCAACTTTCTGGTCAGAATTTGAATGGAGCAAGAGACTGAACTCTCTCTGAGTGCTTTGACATCTCTAACTAGAGTCTTCTTGAAAAGCTCATTTACATCTAATTAAGCAACACTATTTTGTTACCTTACTCAAAGGCTGTTCCTTCCTCCTCTACCAGGAAAGTGTCAGTCAAGTGTTCCATAATGCTCCTGCCAAAGGTGGACGTTTTGTCAGTAGGAATTACTGTCTATCTCACTTTGCTCTAATAAGGTGTGACTCTTCACCAGCTTGCAATTAAGCACAACAGGCAATATTTATATTTTGTGACTCCTGTTATGCCTCCACAGTGATGTGCGAGCCAGGACTCCAAATCAATATATGTATGACTGAACTTCAGATAATTGTTAAGTCCATGATAAGGTCAGAGTTTATTTACGCATGAGAATGTTCATTAACATAGTTTTGATTCAGAGGGTACTTCAAAAGAAACTAGAATTACATTTCAGAAGAAGCTCAAGTCCTGGATTTAAATAATATCCAGCTGGTATTTAAAAAACAAGTAACATCACTATGAGCACGGAAAGAAGAAATGTCATTTTAAGATCTCCAGACATCTGTAAGAAAATAATAATATGCACAGGGACTGACAAAAAAGAAATCTTCTGTTTTAGAAAGTATTAAAAGATATTCTTAATTCTCTTTGAAGCTGATGTTAAATAGGTGCTTAACTTTTTGCCTACTTAGGGAGTCACATCAGCAGCTTGCTAAATCATTTCTGCACAGGAGCCTATTGGATTAATGAACAGTTAATTTAAAGAGGTACTATTCCTAGAATAAGTAAAGTCAAAACGAGAAGAGCTGCTCACTCAAACTGTCTAAATTCCTTAATCTTCAGTGAATCGCTCTGTTATTAAAACAAACTATCACGGTCCTTCTGCTTTCCTTACTGGCATCTTCAATGTATAGATTCACATGCTGAACAACCTTGGAAAGGGCACCCAAAAAGACTGGAGTAAAGCCAGATATTTCCCTTTGCAACTCAGGAATATACTGCCAAACTCAACTCAAATGCACCAAATTACTTTTTGTTTCTTCTGAAAACTCTTCAAGTTAAAGGTTTCTCATTAATTATGGGATTTTAACCATTTACCTGAGAGGACATTCCATGGCATGGATAAAGGATTGCTTTGTCATCCTCTTCGGCTCCCTGATCTAAGCAGTAGCCACTAGCTTTGCTGTTACGCACCTATAACCGGATCACAAAGAAAACAGTTGTATTAGAAATTAATCTGCACGATGCAAGTCTAATCTAGCTAAATCTTAGCTGCACTACAGCTATTGAAACAACTAGTATGTAAAACTATTCTTCGCTGAGAAACACATGCTTATTCTCCAGATACGATAGGATGCCATTAGTGAGTTTGCTCCAGGAAAAGACATTATTTGGACAAACTGCTGTCTTTACAGACCTTGGGTCAGAGTTATATTTTCAGCAATTACTCAAGGATCAAAACCCCATAAAATTCACTCTAAGAAACCCAGGCCAAATTTTGCTCCAAATCACCCTTGTGTAAATATAAATTTTGACCATATATTTTGAGAATGTGACTTAATCAGACAGCATAGGAACTACCCAGGATTGGTATGGGATGTGGCACCCTTTTATTTGCTCTTACTGCACATATAAAAACAAAAAAGCATATGAAACAATTCTATTTGAATTGAGAATATAGTACATGGTTATGTACAGAAGTGATGTAAAGCACATCATTGTGAAAGGATACAGCAATGATGACCAGTGTTGGAAGGCTTTCAATATATTTAAAGTTTGGGTTCAGAGAACCAACCAAGTCAAAAATTCATGTGCCTCCCCAGACAAAGAAAGTTTACAAGTCTACAAAACTGGGCTGGAGCTCTTGTGAAATTTCAGGCCTTTTTTCTCTTCAGGCTAGAAGTATTACACACATATTTTGGACGTCGAAAAATTTTACAGGTATCTTAATCAAGAAGTTATTTAGACAGACATTTTGAAACAGTTAACAGGTCAGTTTTGGTTTAGGCTGTGAACAATTTGTCTGGCCACCCCAATAATATAGAAATAGCTGCTGCATGAGGGGTCAGAAAAATCAGTAAATAATCCTTCACATTATAGTGTACGAGCATAATAGCGATCGGATAAGGGGGCTCACCAACAGTTAAATTTCAGGCGGTTTATTTTATGACTCGAGTACTATAAAGGCTAAAGAAGATGAAGACAGCTTTATGTGAATTGAGTCACCAGGAAATATATTTTTACTACTGTTTCAATCTGTTTCACATCTACTCAATACATTCATTTTCCTTCAAACTTGCTAAAATCCAGACATCTTTTCCTCCAGGAAAATAACCGGAAGAGAAGGCATTTAATAACAAGCTTGATGTTATTTAGGATGAAGCCTCTAGTTTGTTCATTACGGGCATGTAAGACTGAAAGGGAACTATGCCAGTTCATACTAGCTAAATAGCTTGTGTGGCTCCATTTCATTATAAATTTTAATGAATTAGATACTTGCATCGCTCAACTTCCTGTTTGACTCAAGAACCTTCATGCGATCACTCAACAGAAACAAACTTCTTTTTAGAGCCCAGCTTGCTAACCGTCTGGTATAATTGACACAACATTGGCAGTACTGCCGATGTTCTTTGCAGTTAACAGCCTTCTCAGAGCTGACAGTTACTAATAGCTCCTGTTGAATTTACTAAATGTCTTTCCTCAGTTACTGCCAGGGATAGTTATATTAGGATGCAAAGTGATATTATGCAATAAAACTTGCACTTTGTATCAATATCTGAAGCGCCTGACTTCTTTTTATATGAAGTCAATCAAATGGAACAGAAAGGAAGAATGTCCATTTAGTTGTCTTGTGTGAAAATATATTGCCTTTGGATTTAATTGTAGTTCATGTAGACAATTAAAACAGACTCTTAAAAACATTATGCAGCAGGAGAGCTCCTAGAACTTCGCCCCAGCTCACAGTCATAAGTGACAGCAGTCCTTACATTACAGGCACGTGATATAGATTTAAAGAGTTACAGAATGCATGTCTGACTTCTTTAAAGATTGGGGTCAAGCATATGTGGGAGATTTGATTGGTTCACAGAAGAGAAAGAAATGATCCAGACAGCTGAGGCGAACCGAAACGTCTACACTTTTCTAACACGTTTGGATCCAGCATTTTATTAGGGTTAAGTAACCTATCCACTCAGCTGTCTCAGAGTAGGTGTTCCGAGGTCTTACTCAATACTGGTACACAAGTGGAAATGAAAATACAGAATCTGAGCACAAAGCAGCAAAATTGTTTTTCCTCTAATTACTTTTTCATGATGAGATAAAGACCTGCCAAATGGTAGCCTCACCTCATAATCTGAACAAGGATATGTTGCTTTTTATCCCGAACAAGGAGGATTGCAAAACTGAATCAATAAAGTGCATGTAAGCCTTCAAATAGTTTGCCCAAATGCAAAAAAGGGGTGGTTCTTCACCTAAAAACAATTCAGAAAACTCAACTGTTCTCATTAACTGTAATTATTTTAGCTCTCTTGACTGCTGATGTTTTCTTGATGATGTCTGTGGCATCCTATTTCGGAAAACGATTACCTCAAATTTACGTTCTCAGAGCTGCTCTATTTTAAAATGAAAGCCAAGGAGGTTGCGTATCATCGTTAGTGAGAATGATTTCATCTGATATACTCCAATGAGAGGGACAGTGCTTCTCAAAGCCACACTTCCTAGTGTTGATTAAAAGTAGGGGAGGGCATTTCTGTTGCTACTACTGTGCTGACTTGAAATTGCTCTGTACGTCCTGATACCCTCCACTAAGATGAAAGGACTGCTCTAATGCAGGCACGATGTATTTTCAAAGACAAAGTACCTCTCCATAAGTGACTGTATTATTATAAACCCTCATTTCAGGATAGACGTTCTCCAAGTACCACTTAAAACTCCGGCACTGCAGTCGCTGTCGTAAAGCTATTCTTTCAGAAACGTCTCCAAAGTCAACTCCAGGGTTCTACAAAGCAGAAAAAGAATAAAGAAATCTCACTGCATTGACTTTACGGTTGTTTTCTTTACTGAAACCAAATTGGAGTTCATTTTGTACACCAAGCTGTATTTCCCTTTCTACTTTCTCTTTTGTAAGTAGCAGCTCATCAAACAGCTGCTGTTGAGAACAGATAATAAATATTAATGAAAGTCAGTGGAAAAAGAAGGATAACGAACAAGCAAAAACCAAACATAAACCAAAATAATAAGAAAACAATAAGAATGTTGTTACTTACAGCAATTCTAAATGTTTGCAATCAAACCTGAACTCTTTTGCTAAATTCGTTAGGAATTTAGGCGGTAGTTCTGATCTGAGATATGGCAGCTTGATCCTGGCTTCCTCTAGTAACAGCCTTAGGTATTCACTAATGTAAATGAGATCAGAACAGACCTGTTAAAAATTCAAAGCAGAGCTGCTCAAAAAGTCATTAAGCTCCATTAAACATTTGCATAGACCAGCATTCAGTTTTTACTGGAACTGGAGCTCATTTGCAGACTTGAGCCACAAAATGTAGTTAAACTCAAAACCTTCTTTATAATTCTGCTTCAGAATTGAATTCACGCTTGAATACAAATCCCATGAAAAACACAGGCTGGAAGAGTCAAATCAATATGATCAAAACCAGCTGCTTAAAAACTGCCAGGTCCTGAGTTAGTGTCTGTTGATTTAAACCATTATAAATCATCACAGTTCAACATTAAGACAGTAAGTTACCTCATCTAAAAGTCTTTTCCGACACTGGATGAATCAAATGGACTGAAACTGGGGAGTTTTGCGTGGATCTGTCTTAAGTGCCTTGTACATTTCCTCCAGGAAGATTTCTGTACGTTTTACAAATGATGTCTAACGCAGGGTTAGAAGACAGCAGCAAATCTTAGCTCAGGGTTTATTAGAATCCCCAACAGATGCCTAGTTCTCAGGAGAGAATACAAGTGTAATACTGAACAGGTTTTTCTATTTGCTACATAAAGAGTTTACTGTGCTCACTGCTGCTTGCTGATGCACACTTTGTCATGAGCTCTCTATGCAGCATCCATTCAAATGAATGTTAATTTACGTACTACTTCAGGCTACATGGAAGGAGAGCAATTCTCGGAGGCACTCAGTACAATAAATCACTCAAGATAAGATGCCTTTATCACTAAAATTGTCCAGGAACAAATCAAGCAGGAGCACACCAAATATTTGGTTAACTAAAATAAAGCCATGCTGACCTGCTGATGAAGGTTATAGGAATATGATCTTGCAAATGTGTCCGAAGATCATCCACTAATCAGGTTACACATTATGCACAGATCCTCAATAACTTGGAAGGGAGCACGTTGTGAGAAAGATGGTGTGAGTTATGAAAGGGCTAATTTGCATGGGTTTTGGTATGGGAGAACACATACATTTTACTTGCCTCCTTTCTTCTCTATTCTAAAATGAGGCAATACAATGCCCTGTGTGCAGTGCCATTTCTACAGAACACAAGAGCAGCAAACTAAGCAGCTATGAAAATGCTGCGCTTGCTTCTGTATTAGCTGCAGTCATCATGTGCGGTTTACAGTGTGATGGTAAAAGAATGAGGTGTCCACAGAGTTTAGTACGCGGACATACTCTTTTTAACCAGGCAGTAAGGTTTCTAGTTCTGCAGAAGTGTTTTCTAACGGCTTATAACAGTACAGTACTTCTTAGTCATCTAGATTGAATACTGCAGTGGAGTAACACTGTGAACACTAACACTAGCTTCCTTTTCCTGAGAGCTAATGGGGTTATTTATATGATGCACATTTTATCAATCGATTTATTTTATGGAAAGAAAATCTTAATGTTCAGTACTTATGCTGATTTTATGTCTCTTAATGTAGATGTGCCCTTTTTTTTTTTTTCAAAGCACTGCTGTATAGCTCAGTGCAGAAAACTACATCAATAAGTAATCTCAGAGAGATTAAAGGAAATCACGTTTTGGTGTAAATGCTTATTTAAATGTCTTGTCTTTTCTCAGAATTCATTTGCAGAAGGCATCAAGCAAACAAATTTACCAAGGTTACTTCTTTTTCCTCTCCTATTTGAAACTTACCATTTTATCAAATGGATGCAGACAGGGCCAAAATGCCCCTAAAAACTTAGATGGACACTGCTTTGTCTTCCTCCTACTATCACGGAAATCTTGTGTGGGAAAGTAGTTATGCAGAATTGCCTTGTTAAGGCAAAATAATTCACTGCAGTTACCTCTCATGCCTCTCATACCTCTCACGCCAAAAGAAGTCACTAAACCACATCTTCATAGAGACCTAACTTTCAACATTGCACAGAATGTCCAGCACTGAACAGCAGTAAGTGAAATTCGGACGTGTGCGAACATCTGACATATTCAGACATCACATGGAGAAGAACGAAACATTGCTCCTTTAGGCATACGTATTTTCAAAACTACAACAGGAATGAACAAAAATGGGTTTTGATATATTGCCTAGGTACCAAAGTACAAGTAGGTATTTAGGACACAGACTAAATCCGATGAACTCTTTGACAAGACTCCCGTGACTTTGATGGACTCTAGGTCATAACCAAATACTACAAAGACACTGCTAGGTTGGCATATTTTCCTGTTCTGATAGAAGCATTCCTGTTTCCATTTACTTCAATCAGCTTTGAACAAACCTCTCATATAAGGGTTAACTAAACCATCACTACCTACAGAACAAAGTATGTTTCCCCTTAGCTGCTCTCCCTTCACATGTGCCCCTTCACATGAATAATTTGGATGCAAATACCATAAAGGATACAGCAGCAGTCAGCTTCCACCTGACTGGGATATAACATATACCTCTCCTCTCAAAGAATTATGCTCAGTGGAGATGTAGCGTGTGATATACTTACAGAATAAAGTGATAAATTGAACCTACAGTTTCTCTAATATTTTTATTACATGGATTCCTAGAGGTCCCCACATGCCATCTACAATTTGTATGCACAGTAAGAAACAGAATGTGTCTACATTGCAACACTCAGCCTGTAGACAATAAAGCTAGTTAATATGAGATTCTTTTATCGCATACTTTGTTTTTATGCTGGTGAGGTCTACTGAGTCTTATGATGAATGATGATATTTATTTATGGACATTTCTGTAGTCCTCACCACTGTACCATATGAACACCTCAAAGTTTAATGGCATCCCAAATTAATGACTTCTTCGGAGGAAGCGCATAAACCTGAAACATCGTGCTCTAGTTAAATTATAAATCTGTGTCACCGCTCCTGAGCGCACATCAAAACTTACACCGAGGAAGCAAGTTTATATGGCAGAACTCTCCGTATTGAGCATGCACCAGCACGAAAGCACTCTTCCCTCCAAGCTTAGCCCACTTCATGCAATTGTAGTAATATCCTTCACCTCAAAGAACTAAGAACAGCCACCCACGTTTCTGTTCAGGAGAGAACGTGACCCGTACTTACTGCCATGGGGATGTTCCACGCCATGTAAACATGCGACTTGAAGTCATCCATCCAGACCTCAGCGGCCCGCAGGGCGTTGCGCTTTGCATAGTAATCAATGTCGTTGTTGTAGGGTTTCTTTGTGCGTTCAATATGTGCCACGCGAGAACAGGGTAAGACCTCCATGCTTCCTCCGCACTGCCAGACCTGGGAGAGTTGGAGGAAAAACAATTGCATGATTTTTTTAAATTTTTTTTTTCTTTTTAAGGTGATATAACTGCTTCTTTTCAGATGCTGTATGTAGAGAGTTGCCTAGGTGGAGATGCGTACTATCGAACGATTCAGAACGATCGCCCAATTTACCTGCTCTGGGGGTGAAACCCCTCTCTCTTCACATTGATGAGTCCGAGGTGAATGCAGCTGGCTGTGTTAGGTACACAAGTTTAGGTGCCATAAATATCCAAGTCCTTCCCCATAATGTCGTTGTTCTTGGAACCATTAGGCAGAAGACAAATTACAAGGTGGTAACCTCTATCGTAGGGACTATTTTAACCTAGTGCTTGTTACTGAAACGTCAACAAAAATCAGTTGTACCGACTGGCTGTGTTTGCTGCTGTATACATGGGGGTTACTGTATCAGCTCTCCAAATCAACTCACAAACTTTTAATAGCTTAAATGTGATTGCCAGAAAAATCTGATACACATTTAGCATACATAAGCATCTCAGATGACCTATTCCACACCAGAGCCTTTTATGTGGGGATTTGAACATTACCTTTGGGAAAGAGAAGGAAACAAATTACCCACATGCACAATACCAACAGAAAAAAAAGCACGGAAACATACTTATTTTCTCATTATGGAAACTTAAGACTTTGATCGTGAGTCAGTCAATTATTCTTTTCTTTTTCTAATCTAGCCCCTGCAGGCTTCACTGATTTTCAGCGCAGCAATTCTCCCTTCACAAACACGCTTTGCCCTGCCTTCAGTAAGAAACAAGCACTGACTTACCTGATACAGGACATCCCATGGAAATTTTAGCCCAGGATAAGACACAAGTCTTAGCACAGGATGCCTGGTAAATCTGGCCATTAACCAAAATGTGTGTTTATTTAGCAACACAGGGTACTGCCACACTTGGTAGTAGATGTGAGCACAGCAAATGCATTTCTCACCCAGTGCTCCTACAACCTCTCAGCCGCTCACTGCTGGGCAGAGAGGAAAGGAGAAACCTCTGGTGCAACTGTTCTGTATACCTTAACCTACAGCCTGGTCACATAAGAAGCAATAAATGACCACTTATCTCTCTACCCCTGAGCTGATGAAGATGGATAAGAGGGGCTGAGTGGAGACCGTATCGCCCAGCCTTCCCAGACACTACCCTGCCCATACCGTGCCATTTTTTCCTGTTGATTATTGTCTGAACTCTGTGGTGGGAAACAAAAAGGACTTGTCTCTTTGAATCAGCGAGATTAGGAATGATGCAGGGCGAGTGAAGCTTATGAGTTTCAGTTCCCTCAGGTCTGCACCTAGTACTACAGTCTAGCTGAAATAAAGAAAAGATATTAAAATATAATCAATAATCCATTACTTCCCAAGGCTGCCTTTTACTGAGCATAAGAGATCATTTCCAGACAAGATGCACTCCAGAACAATACAGGGGCAGTTCACCTAACCTGCCTTCTCAGGCACAAAGATAAATTGCTTGGGAATTGGCAGATAAAACCTCCTCCAGTTTGGCTTTTTTTTTTTTCCCCCCTAACTACTTTGTTAGGTAATATTTATTTGCTGCTTTCCAAACAGTTCTGTAGTAAATCACTGGCCACTGGAATTTGCATTTGATAAATGAAATACACTGAAAAACACACTGCTCGTAAATTTGGACTGACATATGCTGAGGGTTTCCAGTGCAAAGGGGAAGTGCTACAAAAAAAGAAAGGAATTAATTGATTTTCATGATCAGAAGGGGAAATGAGCAGTACACTTTAGTATACTGCTATTTGCCCAACCCATCCTGGAAGTCAGCTATTTAATGCACGGCACATTTTTCTTCCTCTTGATATGGCTAATGACCTTGTAATTTTTATTTATATATTTTGGTACCAAGGGCAAATACATTATCTGAGCGACAGATTTATTTCCTTCAAATGCCAGTGCTCATGCAAACCTGAAAAGAAAAAGGTACTAAACCGCAACATTAAAGGAAACAGCTTAGCTCATCTGTAAATTCAACACAAACAGTTATTTATCAGCGATAAATTCTCCCCAGATGAAATCCACAGGGAACTCAGACACCCGGCTTTGAAGAAAACGCAACAAAAAAAGGCAGCAGCAGCCTCAGGCCAGATAACGCTCACCCTGTCAGCCAGGATCTTTGGTGCTCAGCAGTCAGCGTGAGTTTGCACTGTGGTGTGACCGCCCCATCTGCGGTCCTCTAGATTGCTTTACATTTACTTTCAGTCACTTTTTCCCCCTACCCCTCAGCCCCATTTTGCTTTTTAAAGAGACAAAATCTGCGAAAGAGTAGGAAGGAAGGAAACAGCCAGGAAATAATCAAGGAAATTTTGCTTCCTATGAAGATGTTAATCTACCCCAGACGACTTGTTTTTTCTGGGAATATGTAACTTTTAACATAAGTTGGGGATGTTTCCCAGGGTAAGGATGGGATTTCCAATCCCAGAGAAAGAGAACTGGATGTACAGCATACGGGGGGAGGAGGCAGTTAGAGAGTCGTGTATCACCAGGCGTACATCATCGCGCCACCATTTCTCCATATCCCAGATAAAAGCCTTGGCTGCTCGACTATGGGTCATTTCTTTTCAGGCCAGACAAGGTCTCCTGTTTCACTTCGTAAGGATTAGTTGCTGTTCAATGGAGCATGGACATGGCTCTGCATCCCCACACCCTTTCAGTGCACTGCTAAGTACAGAATGAAGCTCTTGTCCTCTCCCTTTCCAGCCCAATGACGACTTGATCTTACACAGAATGAAAGAGCTTCAGTAGTACAACCAAGCACGTGCACCCAAACCAGCCAAGATCCCAGTAGTTAAAAGCAGTCATGTGAGGTTTAGATGAAGACTCAAGACTTGTGTCTGAATCAAAAGGATGGGGAGGTTTAGGAGCACCTAACCTGTCCCTGCTGGACACAGAATGGAAAGACAGACGTGATTCAGAAAACCATTGCCTGTCTGCCTCTAACTGCAAGAAGTCTCTGAAATACAATGAAGGATGAAAGAACGAGGAAAGTTTTACTGCATGAAACAGGTAAGAGAGGTGAATCAGTGGCTGCCCCGAAACTGGTTGATTCTCCTCCTCTTTTCATCCTCAAAACTGTATTTAATGACCCATTTTAACAGTAGTAAACAACCCATTTCTTTCCTAACTATGAAATTATGCCAGAAAAGTAATTACATGCATCTGTATAGCATTTATCAAGCAGAGTTCTTAAAGTGCCTTACTATGGGAAGCAAACTATTTCCACCTGTGAGCATAAAACCATGCCCAAGTCCTCCACGTCGACACGTTTCAGGCAATCAGAGGAAACCAACTTCCACATCTATGACTCATCTTCTGGGATAACACCACATGTCCAACCCAAGTAATTCCTCTCATACCCAGTTGCCACCATTAACCGTGTGTTTCCAGGTTCATTTCCTGAGAACGTGGAGGTTGAACGGTCTCTCTGAGCCGGTCCCTACGAGGGTGCACATCACTGAAAAGCAAACTCAGCCTTCTGTTCCCCCCCAAGAGAGGCAAATCCCCAATAGTAAACTTTGTTTCGGGCATCACAGCATGCACCCATCAAACTGTATTGGAGGGCAACAGCCGGGACAACAGCCCAGGCCCCACTGAAGGGCGGGCAGAAACAGGCTCGAGATGCCCTGGGCAGGGCACAGGCGTAGCTCCAGCTGATAAAGCAGCAACAGCAGAGAAGCAAACAGGCTTCTGCTTTGTGTGCTCCTCGACTCAGTGCAGCTGCTACAGCCCAGGGACTCGGCTTTGCCTCCGCGAGCGTCACACTGTGCAGCGTTTTAAGACGTGATCAAGTAATTCCAAGAGACACTCAATTTATTTGCTAATTGTAGTTAATTTCTAATTTCGGTATTGCTCTTTAGGCTGCTATAAACAAAATTGATAGCAATATAAATGTTACCATAGCCGTGTTACTTTAGCATTTTTACTGCTAATTATCTCAATCAACTTTTCTATAAACAGACATATTAAGTATTAAGAAAAACAAGTACCCACATCAGGGGTAAATTATAAACTGAACGATAATGTTCGTGGTTTGTGCTACAGTGATTTACTGGCACTAATTATTAGCTATTCCTGTACCCCTGAAATATGGCTGTCCTACAGGAGTGTGTTTACCATTTATTATACAGTAGTCAATCAGACATCATATTCTATGCATCAAAGAAAAACTGAGATGAGACAGTGTCTTGTCTACCATGACCTAAACTGTGCATCACCAAAGTTCTCTGAATGCAGGCTGGGTACATGATTTAAAAAGGCTAATAAATTGCTATGCTTTAACTCTTGCCGAACAAGAAGAAATTTTCTGAGGAAATACATTTTCCATAAACTACTTGTTGCTGAAGGTCCAAACTATCGTTTTTAATAGGATTTTAAAAAAATACTGGTTTCCTAAAAAAAAAAAAAAAAAAAAATCCAGATACCATCTTAAAACTTTTTTTTCTTTTGGATGAAATTATTAGCATCCTAAAAAGGAAGTACAGTTTGAAACAAACAAAAAAAGGAAACAAACAAAAAAAGGAAACAAACAAAAAAAGGAAACAAACAAAAAAAGGAAACAAACAAAAAAAGGAAACAAACAAAAAAAGGAAACAAACAAAAAAAGGAAACAAACCCCCAACACTTTTGACCAAAATCCCGGTATTTTGGGAATGAGGAAAGGCAGTGAGGCAAAGTAAAATGTAAAATTCCATCAATCCGAAAGGTCAGACAACAAGCCTGGTCACCGTTGAAGCAGGACGTAGAGCTGGCAGGACTGCTGGGCTAATCAATTCTAAGTTATGGCAACGTATATACAGAACATTGCTGACACAGCCTCCAGCTCTGCAGGTGAGACCTATTTCCAGCAGCGTCATGCCCTGCTGAGTGAATGTCAGAGCTCAAAACCGTCGTGGGATTTAACACTCGGGTGAGCCATTTGCCACAGGCGGCTGCAGCTCCCACGGCG